GACCCAGAACAGTGCCTGGCACGCAGTAAGTTGAATGAATGAACAAATGAGGAACAAGTGAACTAGATGGGGTTGTTCTGAAGTGAGTATACTATCAAGAAGTGGCTGTCAGGTCACAGAGGATTCTCACCAGACAGAGTAGGCTCCTTATGATCTGTAATGCGATCCTGGATTTTCTACTGGGGACAAGGAATGCCTTTGCAGCCCCCAGTTCCTCAGGCTCCCTAAAATGAGGTCATGCCTGCTGTTTCTGGGGTCAGTCTGTCACCATGCCCTCCCCATCACCACCACCATTAGCAATGGTCCCAAGCTCCATGCATAGTATTGTATCAGGACTCGTGTCAGAGGGATCCCTGGATGGCTCAGCGGTTTAGCGCCTGCCTTTGGCCCAGGGCGCGATCCTGGAGTCCCAGGTTCGAGTCACACGTCAGGCTCCCGGCATGAAGCCTGCTTCTCCCTTCTCCTGTGTCTCTGCCTCTCTCTCTCTCTCTCTCTCTCTCTCTCTCTCTATGTATATCATAAATAAATAAATCTTAAAAAAAAAAAAGAAAGGACTCGTGTCAGGAAACAAGGTAGTAGAGTGACCACCAGTTCTTCCCACCATGTGGGTGGAAGACAGGAGGCCCCCTTGTCTTAGAACTGCAAGAAAGGTCAGTACTCCCCATGCGGTGGGGGGAGGCACTCTAGAACTTGAGAGGAGCTCTCTATGTCCCCAGTTAATGAGAAGGAGAAGGAGACTAGTTGGAGGTCACTAGTTGATCAAAAGGTTGTTAGATCACCAGGTGTCAACCCAACTTTAGAGGAAAGCCACCCATGAAGATGTTTTTAGTTTGGCACCAGTCCTTGAACTGTATACTTACAATATGTGCACTTTCCTTTATGCTATATATCATATGTTTTTAAAACCCACACACCTGGACCTGCTTTCACGGGTTCTGCTTCAGAAGATCTAGGATATGTTCCAGGCACCTACATAATTCTTAAAACTTCCTCTGTGGTTCTCAGTAGCATCTAAGGTTAAGAAGTATTGATAAGAAGTATAGGGATCCCAGAGAAAGCAGATTAAGGAGAGTGTGATGTACATAGGGGGCAAGGATGCTGAGGCAGGACTTTAGTCACACTTAGAATAATGATATTCCAGAAAGTCCAACAGACTAATAGGTTGATCAACACATAAAACCTCTGGGTGTCCAAAAAAATACCCCAAAACCAGCATTAAAAATTGTAAGAAGCAGGTAATTAGGGAAAAATATATATATAGCAAAAGGTTAATAGCCTTGGTATTTATTTTAAAAACCTCTTACAGATCAATAAGATGAGCACCCAATAGAAAAACAGAGTACAGACATGAACAGGCAGTTCAAAAAGAAGAAATACAATGAGACAATACATTTATGAAAAGTGGTCAGCCTCACCAGGAATCAAATAAATGCAAACTACAACAACAAAGAGACGTTATCTTTTGCCTAGCTAATTGGCGAAGATTAACTATGTGATAATACCTCATGTTAGGGAGGGTGTGGAAAAAACAGGCACTGTCATTCACCAGTGGGAGTGCAAATTGGTGCAACCTTTCCAGAAGGCAATTTGGCAATGCTTAAAGCTGAGGAAGATCTCATACCCTTTTGATGCAGCAATTCCACTTTTAGGAAGATTGCCCTAGGAAATTATTGTAGATAGTAATAAGCAGTAATAGCTAACCTTTGTTAAATGCTCTGTGCAAGCCAGGCTTTATGTGCATTGTTTCAGACAATCCTTACAGCTGCCATCCCATGAGGTCAGAGCTGTGATGATCACCCGTATTTCACAGATGAGGAAACTGAGGCACAAAAGGACTAGGTCAGCGACCTGAGGACAAAAAGCTAAGTAGCAAAGCCTGGTTTTGAATCTAGGCAGTCTGAGTCAAGAGCCGCACTGTCCAGCAGTACATGCTAGATGTGTGCGAAGGATGAACACTGTGTGCCCTAGCTGGGCACACTGAATATATGTACTGGATGAAGCTGGGCCTGTTTGTAATGAGGTGGCAGTGGGGAGAAAACATGCTGAATACTCCAGGAGAGGAACTGGTTACATCAATGATGGCACACCAATAAAGGAATATTATGCAACCATGAAAATGTTTAAAAATATGTGTGTGAATACTAGAGTTTTTTGTCTAGGCATAAAATGTCTCTGAAATGATATAAAAGCAACTGATAAAATGGATTGCCTTCTGCAAAGGCAACTGTGTGACTGTGGTCAGAAGTTAGAGGGAGACTTGTGTTTTTTTTTTTAAGATTTTATTTATTTATGAGAGACAGAGAGAGAGAGGCAGGCAGAGACACAAGGCAGAGGGAGAAGCAGGCTCCATGCAGGGAGCCCGACGTGGGACTCTATCCCGGGTCTCCAGGATCACAGCCTGGCTGAAGGCGGCGCTAAACCGCTGAGCCACCCCGGCTGCCCAGAGACTTGTGTTTTAAGTCAGAAAGCCTTTTACACTTCTTGGATTTTGAATTATGTG